TTCGAGTCCCAGACCCAGTGGCTTAAACTCACGCCAGGTGCGTACGTGTGCGTGCCCAAGATCCCGAGAAGAGAATGGAGGAGAAGGGATTGCGGCGTGGCCATCCCCCTTGCGGGGGTGATTTCTCGCTTTCTGTCTCTCTCTCTGTCTGTCTGGCGAGTGCATGCGCCCTATAGCAAAAACCTCTCCAAAAATAAAAAAAAAAAAACCATTAATTTTCTCTACTCAAGATTCTGAGATCTTATATGTATAGCTCTTACTGTACTTATTTTATTCTATACATGTCTAGTGACAAAATAAATATGTAGAAACAACCCTAAATTCTGAGATATTCTACGAAAAACCTTATACATTTTGAAAAAATCAAAATTCAAACTACTTTTTTTTTTAATTTCCTTTTTCTAGGTAATCAATCCACAGCTCTTCTTAAATATCACTTTCTCCATTCAGTGTTTTCTGTTCTGGCCAAACATTAATTTTCCCATGGGACCAGCAGTAAGCGTAATGGCTATGTCACTGAACTCCCACATAGTCGACCTCAGTTCGAGTCCCAGACCCAGTGGCTTAAACTCACGCCAGGTGCGTACGTGTGCGTGCCCAAGATCCCGAGAAGAGAATGGAGGAGAAGGGATTGCGGCGTGGCCATCCCCCTTGCGGGGGTGATTTCTCGCTTTCTGTCTCTCTCTCTGTCTGTCTGGCGAGTGCATGCGCCCTATAGCAAAAACCTCTCCAAAAATAAAAAAAAAAAAAAACATTAATTTTCTCTACTCAAGATTCTGAGATCTTATATGTATAGCTCTTACTGTACTTATTTTATTCTATACATGTCTAGTGACAAAATAAATATGTAGAAACAACCCTAAATTCTGAGATATTCTACGAAAAACCTTATACATTTTGAAAAAATCAAAATTCAAACTACTTTTTTTTTTAATTTCCTAGAGGGGACATACACTTGCAGGGAGGGGAGGTAGCAGTAGGGAGAGGAAGAAAGTACCCCCCAATGGAGGGTGGTCATGCCACAATCCCTTCTCCATTTCTCCATCCTGTTTGGACCTTGGGCACAAGCACACATGCCCAGTGTTTTTCTTTTTTTCTTTTGCCACAGGGCACATGCACTCACCAGAAAGAGAGACAGAGACAGTAAGCAGTCACCCTCAGGGGGGATGGCCATGCCACAATCCCTTCTCTTTCAGCCTCCTCTTGGGATTCTGGGCACACATGCACACATTCCTGATGTGATCCTCAAGCCTCAGGGTTAGGGTTTGGCCTGCAGTCAGCCATGGGGGAGTCCAGCACTTTAGCCACCATGCCACCTGCAGATGTCATGCCCAGTGTTTTTTTCAAGCTGGTAGAGGCCAGGACTCCCAATTGCACGGTTTGCCATGTGGGATCTAGCTTTCCCAATAACCAGGTCATAGAGCTGGTCCCTCAAAGTATAAATTATAGTGGAAAATATTAATTTAAAGTTAAAAGACTTGGGAGTCAGCAGGTGGTATGGAGCGTAGGGTGGCTGTATTTCACATGGCCAGATGCACAGTTTGAGTACCAGTCCTGGCAGTTTGAAAATCACGCTGCACATGTAATGTGTTCAAAATCCTGAGAAGAGAATGGACTAAGGATTTCTCACTTTTACTTTCTCTCTCTGCCCCCATCCTTCTGTCTCCTTCTGGAAAGCACACTCACCCTATAGCAAACTTAAAAAGAGAGAAAAAGAAAAGGCTTAGAATCAGTATATGGTTCTATTTACAAGTACTGGTTAGATAAGAATAAAGATACACTTTCTAAGCAACATGTTACTTTTTTTTTGGGAGGGGGAGGTTTTTACTATAGAGTACCAGCACTTTAGCCACCATGCCACCTGCAGATGTCATGCCCAGTGTTTTTTTCAAGCTGGTAGAGGCCAGGACTCCCAATTGCACGGTTTGCCATGTGGGATCTAGCTTTCCCAATAACCAGGTCATAGAGCTGGTCCCTCAAAGTATAAATTATAGTGGAAAATATTAATTTAAAGTTAAAAGACTTGGGAGTCAGCAGGTGGTATGGAGCGTAGGGTGGCTGTATTTCACATGGCCAGATGCACAGTTTGAGTACCAGTCCTGGCAGTTTGAAAATCACGCTGCACATGTAATGTGTTCAAAATCCTGAGAAGAGAATGGACTAAGGATTTCTCACTTTTACTTTCTCTCTCTGCCCCCATCCTTCTGTCTCCTTCTGGAAAGCACACTCACCCTATAGCAAACTTAAAAAGAGAGAAAAAGAAAAGGCTTAGAATCAGTATATGGTTCTATTTACAAGTACTGGTTAGATAAGAATAAAGATACACTTTCTAAGCAACATGTTACTTTTTTTTTGGGAGGGGGAGGTTTTTACTATAGAGTACATGTGTTCACCAGAAAGACAAAGAGAGACAGAGGAGAGAAAGCGAGATATCACCCCAGGGAGGATGGCCACGCAGCAATCCCTTCTCCATTCTCCTTTCAGAATCTTGGATATGCACATGCACGTGCCCGGCGTGAGTTTAAGCCACCAGATCCAGGACGCGAACCACGGTCAACTACATGGGAGTCTAGGGACGTAACATTACACCATCTACTGATCCCAAGCAACATGTTACATTTTAGTACCACACCAAGAGAGCTGAAAATGAAAAAGACCGCTAAATGTTGATGTACTGCTTCATGTAACTTATTCTCATAACTTAGAGATGAAAAAAATCTATACATGCTCAAAATATGGGCACAGAAATCACCCTGAATGCTAACCTCAAGTGCAAATAAAACACATTCAAACTATCTGACAGGCGTGTAAACCAAATCCCACTGCCCAGAACTACTTCAACAAGAGAAAGAAAAGTTGTCAAAGGAGAAACATGGATGGATTTTAGAAAAGAAACTATTTAATAATAATTCTCATCCTCCCTGAGAAATAAAGTTTTCATAGAAGAAGTACTGGCAAGTAAGAGGAAAGATCCAACACTTCCCCGTCACACCCGGGAAAGAGGTTATCTGCAAGTCTGTTCACTTCTTTGATACATGAGATTAGAAAAAGAAGAAATACTGTGCTCCGGGTTGATATGAGGAAGCAGAGTATTTGCAAAGAAAAAAGAATCAAAATATTACAACTACCTTTTTAAAACCAGAACAAATCATCAGACTGAGCTGTATTTGTTTCTAGAAGTTGAGTTCTTTCCAGTAAAACCTGTCAACGAATCTTGACAACATTTACTGAAAAAGTTACCCTAACTCCTTGGGCTTCATAACCATATACCTATGAGTTTGTGATAATTTTCTAGTTCTGACTCTGGTTATTCTCTCCCCTAATTCATACTGAACACTGTCAAGCTTAATTTTTTCCTGAAAGAATCTTTGGCTGCCCTTCCTTACTCAAAATCCTCTAAAAGGTTCCCTGTAGACCAAAGCAGGACATTTCCATTTCACAATGTGACAATCTGGGTACGCGGTCCCAATCTTTATTTATACAGACCCTCTGCTTTATGTTCCTTGCTTCCTTTTCCAGGACACACCATGTCGATGTGTATGCATTTTCAGTCTCGCATTTCTGCTCCACTCCCCATGGTATACTATGTCCATCTACCCAAATCCTATAAATCCTATAAATCCATTTATTGAGCATTTACTGTGTGCCAAGCACAAATACAAGATTCAGTCTCAC